AGAAATTGTTAATGAGTATGTTAAAGCTGCAATGAAATTCTTCTTTAAAAAATTAAATAAATTTTAAAAATTGAAATGGATACAATATTGCAAAACTAGCATTACATTTACATGGAAAAAAACAGGCAGTGTTCTAAGGACTTTAAATTTATTAGCTCTAGTTTCCATAAGCATCCTACAAGTAGATATAACTTCCCTATTCATAATATGAAGAAACTAGAGCTTGGCTAGGTTACAGTTTGCCCAAGGCCACAAAGCTACTACAAAGTAGTGGAGAAGGAATTTATACACAACCAGTCTGTCTCCAGAGCGCCACTCCACCACAGCCCACAGAACCACAATGGAACTGCTGGGAAAATGGGATTGGAATGCTCACTTGTTCACTGAACCTCACCAAGAGAACTTATTTCTGCATAAGCGACTGCAAAAACAGAAGTTCAGGCAGCACTTCCAATCACACCCCTAGATGCTGAGTAACGACAACTGAAGTATTCCCCCAAAAGAAGCACAAGCCTTTTAAAAAAAGATTATACCTGCATTTCCCCAATGGCCAGCACCACGAGATCTCTGACACCATCCTCATCCAAGTCCGGCAGCACCACGACTGGGGCAGCCAAGGTGCCATTGGACAGGTAGTTCGGGTTTAGAGACCAGATGGCTTTGCCTAGAGAAGGACAAATAGGCAGATCACCACTTTGGCTTTCTGCCCCTGGAAAAGGCAGGCGCAATGTTCCCAGACCAGAAAAGAAAACCAAAGGGTTGAACAGCCGACACCAGAGCCTCTACACTTTGCCCCGTTACTTTCCAATCTGAGGACAAAGTGGGATCTGAAATCTTTGCACATATGACTACAGTTCCATGTAACAACCTTACATCAAATAGAGCTGTTGAAGTCTCTCCTGGAGGCAGAAGCTCGATCTACCAGGGCTGCAGAATGGGTCCATCGGGGCACTATGGCCACTAAGGGCCCACTCAGACTCCTTTCAACCCATACATAAGCATCAGAGAAACTTCAGAAGGCTTTCAAGGACTCTATCCCTGAGCTAAATCAGCCAAGTGCATTCTGGTTTTTGGTTTTTTGCCTGTTTTTGCTTGGTTTTATGGGATTTTTGTTTGTGCTTGGTTTTTATTATTTATTTAATGTGTATGAGTGTTTTACCTGCATGTATGTAAGTGTATCCATGTAAGTGCAATGCCCATGGAGGCCAAAAGAGGGCATCAGATTCCTTTGCTCTTGAATTACAGACAGTTCTCTGCAAGAGCAGTCGGTGCTCCTAAACACTGAGCCACTTCTCCAGTCCCTTGTTTTGGTTTGGTTTGGTTTTAGTTTTTTGAGACAGGGTCTCCCTGTAGCCCCAGCTAGCCTGGAACTTGCTATGTAGACCAAGCTGGCCTTGAACTTACAAAGTAGCCAAGGATGACCTTGAACTCACCATCCTCCTTCTTCTGCATCCTGAGCATGGAGATTATAGGCCTGTGCCACCAAACGTGGTTTATGTGGTCCTAGGACTCAAACTCAGGGCTTTGTGCATGCTAGGCAAGCACTCTAATTGAGCTACATCCTCAGACCCTGACTTTATTTTCATTCACAGACACCCCACAAGCCAGGCATGATAATTTACACCTGTAATCCCAGCATCAGGAAAGCTGAGACAGGAGGACTGCATGCCTTGGAGGCCAACCTGGGATACAGTGGGGTAGGGAGCCCAAATAAAGCATCCTACTATGGCACCTCTAGATGTGGGAAGGGCATTGCTGTTTGTTCAACTTCCCTTAAACTCAGGGCCCCTTGAGACAAGCATACTGACAGGGCATTCATGACTCTGTGAGGAGATATCTATACTAGATTCTTTTCCAACCCTTCTGTGTATGAATCTACAAGTAAGAAGAAGCAAAAGGCCACACTGAGACCAGGCATAGTGGTATATGACTTTAGTCCCAGTAGTTGGGAGGCAGAGACAGGCAGATCTCTGTGAGTTTGGGGCCATCATGGTCTACATAGCAAGTTCCAGGCTAACCAGGGCTACATAAAGATCCTATAAGTCACATCAACAGCCTTGAAAAGCCTGAGTTCTTTCCCTAGTATAGTTTTTAATAGATTAAATCTTAGGTTCATGCATGGACCTGTGTAGTTCAGACAGAAAGAGGTAAAGCTCCCTTATCTTTTGTACAAAGAACAGTGTAGAGGGACTATTTACAACCAAGGCCTCAGGGTAATTTCTGTTTGGATAACAGTTTAACTCCATCTTATCACCAAACAAGCTGCAACAAGGATCTACTTCTCCATCTGCCCAAACCTCTTATCTTAGTCCCATAATTACCACCTTCCAGAGCAGTAAAGCAGACTTCCCATCCTGTCAGAGGGGGAAAGTCCCTTCCCCTCCAAACAGTTTGAATCCCAAATGATGGCTCACAGAAGCAAAGACCTCAAGCGGCAAATCTACCTGATGTGGCATTGAACGCGCGGAGCATCTTGCGTGTCCCGGTCACGAGGCACACGGTTTCAGTCACACTTCCCAGCATCAGATCCAAGCATGTGACATCTTGAGCCTCCTCTGGGAGGGGACTAGACCAGAGTGTACTTCCATTCATCCCGGAAAGGCACACAAGGTCTGCAGTTGGTTGTGAGTCACCTAAAAGCATGTAGGAGACATAAGAAGAGAAGGAGGCAGAGGAGGTGAGAGTCAGGAATGAGCAGGAGACCAGAAAATAAAAGTAAACGGTGGGTGTTAAGGCAAAAAACTCAGGCTTGTGTGCTCAGCTCCCTCCTGTACTTCTGACAAGGTATGAACACACAACCTGTCATCTGCTCTCACACCTCATGTAAGACAAGATGCTGAGGGCCCCTCTACGCTGCCTCACTACAACTCCGTTTCTTCGCATTTCCCAGCACATCTGTTTATCTGTCTGCCACCTCAGTCCCCATGAACTAGTGATGTCCTTAACAAAAGATACTGTCTCATTAATTTCTGATTTTTCAGCACTTCACGAAATGCCTGGTATACAAAGCAACCCATTGTTTGCTGAGGAAAAGATAGGAACAAGGGCCAGCTAGATAGCTTAGTGAATAAAGACGTCTACTGCCAAACCTGATGACCTAAGTTCGATCCCTAGCAGTGTTCCAGTGTTCCCACATGGTGGAAGGAGAAAACCAACTGCCATAAGGACCCATGTTGTGCAATGCCCACAGAGGCCAGAAAAGAGCATTGGATCCCCTGGAACTGGAGTTACTGATGGCTGTTAGCCATCATGTGGGTGCTGGGAACTGAACCTGGGCCCTCTGCAAAAGGAGTCAGTGCTCTTAACTGATGAGCCATCTCTCCAGCCCAGGACAGGATATCTTGCCTCATCTCACACACTTGGCACTTTCAGCCATCACTAATACCAGTAAGGAAACGGATTCAGAGCGTCATCCTTCCTGACCCTCATATCACTAATTAAACATACAGGCCCCCAAACAGGAGAGAAGGTGTGGCTCACTGTTTAAGACCTTGCTGCCTGAGGCAGACACAGTGATAAGCAGTGCTGGAATATGTTTGCTTCTAGACTTTTCCAGAACACTCACATCCTATGCTGTTCTTCCTGCTTAAGGACCCTACTGAGTCCACGGCCATTCTCTGACTTGTGTTTTTTGGGGAGCTAATAGGTTAACCCTTAGACTATGGTTCCTTGAGGCAGAAGCCATGCTCCTCTTGGTGAGCTCTCTATACAACCAGCACAACCCTGGAGGTGAACAGCGACTCTGGTGGGTGTCCATCATGCTTGCTGAGTGAATTGTGAACAAGCAAATAATAACTCAAACCCTAGCTACCCTATGATGCAAAGCATTATGGGTTATGGGTATATCCATGTGGCATGAGGGTTGAGGTCAAGGGCCCACAGGGCCTGACTCCTGGAGCTGAACCCCAAGTCTACTTTTTACTCTAAGCAAGATCCTTAAGCCCAGTGGACCTCAGTTTCCTCATCTAGAAAAGGGAACAATATATTAGCCTACTTGGTTGAGAGGTAAATTCATTCACATGTGCTAAGTAAATACAACAGGGCATAGCACAGAGAACGCACCAAATGGTATTTACATTTCTACTTTTACCATCTCTGGACTAATCAGGCTGGTCCATATAGTGTCCAAACCCATGGCCTTGTCACTAACCATCTTGATACCCAACAAAGCAAGGAAAATATCAAATGCAGGCTGGAGAAATGGCTCAGTGGTTAGGAGCCCTTGATGCTCTTGCCGAGAACCCAGGTTCAGTTCCCAGCACCCACAAGGCGGCTAACAACTGTCCTTAACTCCAATTCCAGGGGATCCGATGCTCTCTTCTGGTTTCTTTAGGCACTACACACACATGTGCACTTTTACACATGGAAGCAAAACACATACATAAAAGAGAAATAAATAAATCAAAAAAAAAGTTTTTGGGTCTTTCTAAGACAGGGTCTCCCTGTAGTCTCAGGTGGCCTGGAGCTCACTATGTAAATCAGGCTGGCCTTGAACTCACAGAGATCCACCTGCCTCTGCTTCCCAAGTACTGGCGTGCACCACCACAGCTGGCATCAAAAAATTCAATGGTTCATGCCTTTAATCCCAGCACTCAGGAGGTAGATCTCTGTGAGTTCAAGGCCAGCCTGGTCTATGGAGCCGGTCAGCTGAGGCTACAGGGTCAAAAAACAAAAAAAAAATTTTTTTAAACAAAAAACATCAAATACCCACAATATTCCTAACTTTACTTCAAAGGTCAATGATTGCTAGGCCAGGAAAATGTAATCAAGCAAAGACTATATGAAACAGGGCTGGAGAGATGACTCAGCAGTTAAGAACACTGGGTGTTCTGGCATAGGACTGAGGTTCGGTTCCCAGCACCCACGACAGCTAATGACCATCCATAAGTCCAGTTCCAGGAGACCCGATGCCCTCCTCTGACATCTGTGGGCACTGCACAACACAGGTGCACTTGCATATGTGCAGGCAATACACTCATACACATAAAATAAAAATAAATAAAAATTTTTTAAAAAGACTGTAAGAAAGCCTGCTCTTAGGCTGGAGGCTTTCTCTACAGAATTGCTTCTCCACACCAATCAAGTCTCAGAAAGGCATTTATAATAACGCCAGGCAGTCACACAGTGTAGACATCTCTAAAGCATACCTAAACATTTACTTGGGGCCTAAATGATTAGAAAGCAGTTCCTAGGGTTTCCTCGGCCTCGGGGAAGGAATCCTGTGTCAGCTGACACGCTGGAATCAGCCACTGTTAACAGACATCACAGGACCAGACCAGTATGCTGTGCATCTGTGATGAAAACACAGCACATTTTTTGATTGCTTCCACATTTGTCCCACATATCTGCCAGAGTCCCAGAAACAGCACACTCAGCTGTATAAACTGTTGAGGCTTTAATAAGACTATCAACAAAGATATGTCAGGATGGAGGGGGCCCACTAGTGGCAGTATGCTGTTACTGCTCCCAGGCCCAAAGGAGAGAGACTACTTACTCCAGAAAAGAAAGTCCTCCAGGAGGGCCAGCTTGAGACCAGCTATGACCAGTGGTCAAGTTCATAGCCTTCCTGCTCTAGGTCTGGCAGGGAAGGACACAGAGAAATAAATAACCCCACCCCACTCTCCATTTCCTCCAGTTCCCACTGTGCTACCCTTTGGCCAGGTCCAGCAGGAGTCCGGCAGGCAAAGGAACCCATAGCTAAGATGCTCTCCATATGGCCCACCCTCCCTGGTAGAGGACAACCTGGAGCAGCAAACCAAAGCAGGAAAGGACAGCACCTAGCCCAGACATCTGGGTGCAAAGCTGTTAAGTTATGATCATGACCAACCCTGCCAGGGTTGGGAGAGCAGGGTAGGATTCATTATAATCTATGGAAAACTGACTCAAAAAATGGAAATACGTATTGGGCCAGGGAGATGGCTCAGTTGGTAAAGTGCTTGCTATACAAGCTAGAGAACCTGAATTTGATCCCAGGAAACCCACACAAGAAAGCTGGGTGGTACGGTACATACTTATAATCCCAGTGCCAGGGAGGCATAGACAGCAGGGTGAGGGGGGGAATCCCTGGGGAATGCTGGCCAGTTCTAGGTTGACAACAAGGTGGACATAAGTTGGGCTTGGCAATGCACACCTTTAGTCCCAGAACTCAAGGACTCCAAGAGATAGAGGCCAGCCTGGTCTACATAGTGAGTTCCAGGGCAGCTGAAGGAGACCCCTGTCTCAAAGAGACCAAAAAAAAAAAAAAACCAAGGTGGACAGTTCTTGAAGAATGACATCAGAGGCTAACCTCTGGCCTCCACATGTGCACGCACACACACACAGCTAATTACTAAGGCTGCCACTGCAGGGTGTGGGCAGGTCATTTCTTCTCTGAACCAAGGTCTTCACTGACTTGGATGACCACTCAAAGTCCAACTATGACTTACTCCGGCTTCTTAAAATGACCTTTATTACACACAGGAACGTTTTGGTGAGGCACGTCATGTATGGCAGATCTGTGGTGACCTTCTGGCCCTTGCAGACCTTCTTCTGCAGTGCCCCTCAGGAGATGACTAGGTTTTCTTCCAGCTGGCAGCTCCCCTGTGGCAGCCTCCAAAGATGAAAGATGCATCTCTTACCTCCCTCAGTCCCATTCCTGGATGTCACAAAGGAGAGAAGTACATCCCGAAGGCCATCTCCGTTCACGTCAGCCAGCTCCAACGGAGACAGGTCCCCGCCTGGAGCACACATAATAAAACAAAAAGGGCCTGAGCCAGTTACCAAGACCAGTTCTCTGCTGCCAGACTAGAAAGAAGACAGATGTAAATCCACATGGACTTCTGGTTCTCCGACAAGATAGCGGAGACACACTTCTCCCTCACCTGGCCCAGAGCCCTGGATATTACACATAAAACCAACTCAATAAGGCTCTGAAAGGAGGAGGGAGTAAGGGACCCAGGATAGAGACCCCACACGGGATAGAGGAATGGCATGGTTATGCATCCTTGGCCTCAAATAGTCCAGACAAGATGTTAACCAAATAGTCATTAACCCCAAAACAGCACAGGACTAAAGAAGCCCCAAGAGACTTGGCTTCCCTAGAAAAGGCCCAAGAAAGGTGCAGCCTAGCAAGGCAGAAGAATCTGAGTATAGACAACTGCTCTACTTCAAAAGCTATAGATAAACCTATGGCCCTGCCCCACAGCAAAGGCTGTGGGACCTGACTTCTGTTCTAGATATACCAAGGCACCCTCCCCTCCTACAGAGCCAAGGTCAAGAAGGCCATGGGGAAACAGGGATATCATCCCACCTACAGTGCTGAGCCAGCCATGCACAAAGGAAATCTAAAGTTCACAGAGCCAGCCCATCCTTCGTCCTCACAAGGGGCAATGGAGGCCAGTGGGGCGCAGCGACAAGGGACAATCTGGCCCAGCATGGTGATATGTATCTTCAAAGCCAGCAATCAGGAGGCAGAGGCAGGTGGATCTCTGTGAGTTCAAGGCAAGACTGGTCTGCATAGTTCTAGGCCAGATGGAGCTACATAGTGAGAACCACTTTGGCAGAAAATCTAAAAACCCACTAAGAATGAAGAGGCACACACCCTCTGACTGGCAACTTCACTCCTAGGTTTCTTACACACTGCACTGGAAACAGAAAAAATGTTCTTAGCATCATTTATTTAAAAAAAAAAAAAAAAAAAAAAAAAAAAGTGGTGCAGGCCTTTAATCCTAGCACTTGGGAGGCAGAGGCAGGCAGATCTCTGTGCCAGCTGGGGCTACAGGGAGACCCTGTCCCAAAAAGACCAAAAAAGAAAAAAAAAAAAAAAAAAAAAAAAAGAAGGGCTGGGCATGGTTGTACATGTCTTTAATTCCTGTACTTGGGAGCAGAGACAGACAGATCTCTGTGAGAGACAGAGGCCAGGCTGGTCTACCTAATGAGTTCTAGGACAGCTGGGGCTACAAGGACACCTTGTCTCAAAAAGACAAAAAAAAAAAAAAAAAAAAAAAAAAAAGCAAGCCTCATACTATTACAATTAAATTTATATAAGATTCAAAAAGAGGTAAAATTAACGAAAATTTTCAGGTGTCTGGGTCAATGTGGCAAAATGTTAAAGTCAAGGAGTAACCAGCACAAATAAAGAAGACAGTTGTTTGGTGGGCAAAAGAGGTAGGGCAGGAGACTCAGAGGCCTCAACAATGTTCCACTTCCTCAGCTGAGTGCCGGCCACACAGCAATGTGCTTGCAGTCCCCTCACTGTGTACACATTCTACACATGTAAACCAACACGTCCCTGAGAGAACTGAAGATGGGAACAGGGAACCCATCAAAAGCTAATTCCCCTGAGGTCAGATAAGTGACAGAGAGACAGTCCTTCCTGTTCAGGATGATCAGAGCTGTCCAAAAATAGCCTGATGTGGTTGACAAGAGACAGGCTGCTGGGCAGAGCTGAGACACACACCCTGCTTCAGAACAAGAAGCTTCAAGAACTTTGCTTCAAATGAGGCAAACAAAACCAAACAAAAACAGGCACCACTGGGGCAGCGCCATCTCAACCACAAAAACAGGCACCACTGGGGCAGCGCCATCTCAACCACAAAAACAGGCACCACTGGGGCAGCGCCATCTCAACCAGGAGGGGCCAAGGAGGAAAAACAGCAGCTACCGTCTATGAAAAATGAAATTACTTCAAAATTCAAATTAGGTCAGGCTTGTATAATTAAGGAAGGAGACAGGCTTTTAAGAGCCCTGGGCTCTGGTCTGGCCAGGCCTTGGGCCTCACCTGACTGTGTAAATAGCCTTTCCTGCACCTCTGTAGTCTCCTGACAGTGTTGGCTCTACACAGGAACCCAACAAACCTATATCCTACCCTCTGGGTCTGTCTAAGAAAGATGAATGACATTCCACAAAGGCAGTAAATCCCCGGGATTCAGAGGCGTGGCGATCTATTTGTTTTATTTCAACTCTCCTAACCACCTCCATGCCCAGGGAGGAAAGATTGTATGACACATTACTTTTAAGATTTAGAGGGAAAGCTGGGTATGGTGGTGCACACCTGTAGTCCCAGCACTTGGGAAGCTGAAGAAGAAAGATCGCCACAAGTTTGAGGACAGTCTGGACTACATAGTGAGTGCCAACCCTGTCAGGGCTATGGTGGTGAAATACTATCTCCAAAAATGATTTGGAGTGGGGGTGGAGATGATTCAGCCCGGTGAAAGCACTGGCTGTTCTTGCAGAGGACCAGGGATCAGTTCCCAGCACCCATATGGTGGCTAACATAACACCTTTTCTGACCTCTGCAGGCATTGAATGTATGTGAATCACTAACATGCATGTAGGCAAAACACTCATACACATAAAATTCAAAAAAAAATATTCTTTTAATGATTTGGAGGAAAACTTCAACATACTAGCATATGAAAATCAACAGATCAGATCTAAAAATCCCGCAACTCACCTCCTTGGGAGCCTAAGCGACGGCTCCATGTGCTGTGCAGGTCTCTCGGGGGGCAGGGAATGAGGAAAGCACAGAGAAGTACCAAGACCATGGAGATCACCAATGTCAGTAGGAAGACAGATGTGCGTACATAGGACACCAGTGAAGAGGTGGCCTTCTGCTCCAGGCCCCCAAGGGGTTCCGAGGGGTACCCCTCTGGGACAACTTCTGAAAGATGTGGCTTTGCAGCCCCTGCAGCCTCAGCATCTGAGTCCGGCTCGGGCACCTCTCCCAAGGCACTCTTCCCATTTTTGACCCCTCCATTCTTCTGTTGCAAATTAAGCACAAGATCATCTTCACTCTCGTCACTGTCAGCCTGCGTAAGAGGGTCATACTCCCCGAGGTCTGGGCTCTTCTTCCCTAAAAAAAAAAAACAAAAACGACAGGACAGAGTCAATGAGAGTCAGAAGGAAAAAGTCTCACCAGAGCACGGCAGATACCTGGGGTGACCCACAAAGCAAAATGACACCCAGAAACCTAGGTTTACACCACTAAGACCTTGATGGCTTTCTGCATACTTAGCTGTTAGCACAGAGAAGGGGGTGGGAAGAGAAGAAAAGCCCAGTGCCCTAGAAGTATGGCCTTCATGAGGTTAAGAAAAACGCAAAGGGGCTGGAGAGATGGCTCAGCAGTTAAAAGCACTGGCTGCTCTTGTAGAAGACCTGGGTTCAGTTCCTAGCACCCATAAGGTGGCTAACAATCTTCAGTAACTCCAGTTCTAGGGGATCTAATGCCCTCTTCAGGCCTAGGTGGGCACTGCATGCACAGGCAAACTTCCATAGATACAGGCAAAACAATCATATATGAAATAGGAAAAAAAATTTTAATTATATATATATAAAAGAAAGAAAACCATAAAGGCTGCAGCAGCAGCAGCAAGGATCGAACTGGAGGAGACCACGCAATTGAAATAAGCCAGGCAGGGAAAGATAAATCCTCACGTTCTCACATGTGAAAGCTAAAACATTATTCTTGAGAGCAAAGAGAGCCAGACATGATGACTCACACCTGCAATCTCAGCATTTGAGATGCTGAGGCAGGAGAACTGTCATGAACTGGAGGCCAGCCTGGGCTTTAAAGTGAGGTCTTTTCTAAAAAAGAAGCAGAGGCTAGAGAGGTGACTCAGTGGTTACCAGCACTGGCTGCACAGAGGGCCCAGATTCAGTTCCCAGCACCCACATGGAAGTGAACAACTGTCTGTAATTCCAAGCCTAAGGGACCCAACACCCTCTTCTAGTCTCTGCGGGCATCGCACACATGTGGTGCACCTACATGCACGCAAGTAAAACACTCATATACATAAAACATAAATAATAAAATTTTTAAAAGAAAAAAGACATAAAAAGAGGATAGGGATGTACATGAGTTGGTAGAGTGCTTGTCCAGCATACACAGAGTCCAGGGACCATATAAAGCAGACATGGTGGCACACGCCTATAATCTCAGCACTTGGAAGACAGACATTAAAGTTTATCCTCAGCTACACAGCAAATTTGAGACTATTCTGGGGTACCTGAGACCCTGTCTCAAAAGTAAAACGTTTTTAAAGGAGTAAAGTACAGAATAGTAACCAGGCAGGCACGGTGGTGCACACCTTTAATCCCAGTGCTTGCAAAGGAGGCAGAGGCAGGTGGAGCTCTGTGAGTTCAAGGTCAGCCCAGTCTACACAGCAAGTTCCAGGCTAACCAGGGTTACATAATGAGATCCTGCCTCAAAAAAAAAAACTTTAAAAACTAATTAGAAGAAATATCATATTGTACCCCAGAAATATGTGTGATTACAGTGTGTCAAATGAAAATAATTTTAAAAAGAAAAACTATTAAAAAGGAGATAGGGAAACTAGTATTCTAGTAACTTTTTTATCAATTACATTATTTATTTAAGTATGTGCGTGTACTTCATGCAACAGGCATGTGCAGAGGTCAGAGGACAACTTGTGGGTCCGAGGGATCAAACTCAAGTCAACAGACTTGGTGGAAAACACCTCTACCCACTGGGCCATCTTGCCAGCCCAAATAACTATATTCTTATAGGAAGCTGTCTTCTTTTTTTGTTTTCTTTTAAACAAAGTTCATCTAAAATTTTATTTATTTATGTGTATCAGTGTTTTGCCTGCATGTAGATAAGTGCACCGTGTGTATGCCATGTCTGTGGAGACCAGAAGGGGACACTGGATCCCTGAGAACTGTAATTAAGGATGGTTGTGAACCCCCATGTGGGTACTGGGAACCGAACCCAGGTCCTCTGCAAGAGAAGCCAGAGCTCTTAACCGCTGAGCCATCTCTGTAGCACCAAATTTAAGCAAACTTTTATTGAAGTTTACATTCTAATACAGAAATACATTTCAACTGAAGTCCAACACCAATGAAGAGAGAAATTATAGCACCAAAGTTTTCCCTCCTCAAGTCACACTAGGGTAGATTACTATGTAACCTACAGTTTGGGGTTTTTTTTCTAGGCTTTGTTCCACACAAATCTGTGCAAGTTTCCAACATTAGAATATTTAATTCTATTTGAGGAAGGGGTGGGGGAGAGTTGGACCTCAAGTCAACAAAATGTCATCATATTGGGTTGCTATTCAAAATAAATAAAGCTGATCACAGCTGGGCAAAGGAGAGTTAATCTTTAAGGAAGTGACCAGGCTCCAGAGGATGAACTTCACTAAGTAAAGTAACACAGACTCAGAGAAACAAACAACACATGTTCTCCCTCGTATGTGCATATGTCTTTACTGCTTTTGTTAAATTTTTTTTATTTATTATTTTTATTTTATGTGTATGAGTATATTGCCTGCATATATAAGTTCACTGGTGTCATGCAATGTCCACAGAGATCAGAAAAGGGCATCAGATCCCTTGAAACTGGAGTTACAGACGGCTGTTAGGCTCCATGTAGGTGCTGGGACAGGACCCAGGTCCTCTGCAAGAGCAGCCAGTGCTCTTAACCACTGAGCCATCTCTCCAGTCCGATTTTAAGACAGGGATTCACTGTGTAGGCCAGGCAGACCTCAAGCTTGCAGTGATCCCCCTGCCTCACCCTCCCCAATGCTAGGATTCCATGTGTGCACCGCCACATCCAGCCTATATCAACTTTTCATACACCTAACATGCATTACTGCCTTCCATTTTCTTAGAGCCACAAAGCCATAGTCATTCCTGGCATTGTGGAACAATTCTGTGTGCTCTCAAGGAGTATCTCGCTTTCTGACCATTTCTATGGAAACAACTTAGAAAGTTGGACGCTAAATTCCATCTGGACCTGTTTCACCAAAATCTTACTTCCGTCCTGTGATTTCAACGTCTCACAGTAAACAGTGTTTACCTCAAAAACTGCTATTCTGAGCACGCGTCCTAGGAGAGGTGGCAGTCCAGCAGGAACACGGAGATGGAAGACTTTGTAAAAGCTCGTTCGCACAGTAAGCACCCTACTTCTACTTAGACTCTGCATTGACTGGGAGAGAGAGAGAATTTCCAGAAAGACTTGGGTGCACCCCAAGCCAACTCCTGGCTGTCACTACAACTCGTGCCTTTGTCATGCTAGAACCAAAAAAAAAAAAAGTTTATCTTTTGGAAATCACCTGACAAGCTGTTACTAACAAAAACTCTTATTAAGTCTTTCATTCAGAAGTTAAAAAGGGCAGCACATCCAAGCTTGTGGCAAGGCGGAATGCGTGGTCAGCCTCAGCCTCTGCAGGGGCTGGAGAGATGGCTCAGTGGTTAAGAGCACTGGTTGCTCTTGCAGAGGACCTGGGTTTGATTCCCTGCACTCATATGGTGGCTGACAACTGTCCATAACTCCAGTTCCAGGGAATCTGACGCCCTCTTCTGATTGCCATGGGCATTTCACACATGTGGTGCACTTACATACATGCAGGTAAAACACTCGTATACATAAAAGGAAAACAAATTTTAAAAAACTTCAAAACAAATTGACATTCCACAGAATCATTTTACAGCATTTAGCACTTTCCAAAGATACACAGACTACACTAGGTGGTGTGGCAGTCAAATAACTAGAAAATTCTCTTTATTTTCATTTTCAAAGCTATTTACTTTATCCAGTAAAGATTAGATGTGTCTGTTTGTTTGCTTTCAGGGGTCTATGTAGCACAGGCTGGACTTGAACTGTCGATTCTGATGCCTTGGTTTCCCAAGTGCTGGGATTACAGTTGTGTGCCCCTGTGCCTGACTTGGAGTTGATTCTGTGTGTGTGTGTGTGTGTGTGTGTACACGTGTGTCTGCATGCACTTACCTATGAATGCGCATGTGGAGACCGAACGTTCAGTTGGGGTATCTTCCTCTATTGTTCTCTGCCTGCCTTACTGACAGGATCTCTCATTGAACCTGAATCACCGTTTTGGTTAGACTGACTAGCCAGCAAGACCCTGGGACCCACCTGTCTCTACCTCCTAGTTCTAGGTTACAGATATGCACCACTATACCTGGCTTTCTTTTAAATTACTATTTTATTTATTTATTAGTGTGTATGCACACATGTATATATGTGTGTGAGCACATGTATGGCACAGGACGTATGTGGAAGTCAGAGGGCAACTTGTGAGAATTAGTTCTTTTCTTCCACCATGTAAGTCCTGGGGATCAAACTCAGGTTGTCAGGCTTGGTGGCAAGCCATCTTGTCAGTCCATGCCTGGCTTTTATAAGGGTGCTGGGGATCTATACTCAAGTCCACATGTTTGCACAGCAACCATTTCCCCAGTCCTGGATTTTGCTTGTTTGGGTGTTTTGTAATTGATTTTTAAAGGCACAAAGTACAGGAAAACCAATTGACTATTAGGAACCTAACTCAATAATACTTTCAGGATATGCCATGAGGTCAGCTCACCAGGCTCATCTTCTCTAATGTATATTTCTACTTCATGAAGCAAACTGTTTTATTAATTAGGTAACTATATGTAATAACTTGCACCCAGAACTGTAAATCTTGCTTGTATTTTGTTGTGTATCATTGTTGTTTATGCTGTTGGAGATTGAACCCAGGGCCTCATACATGCCAGGCAAGCAGTCTACCAATTCAGCTATATCCTCAGCCCTAGAGCCATATGTGTGCGTGATGTGTGTAGTGTACGTGCACATGTGTGTGACTGTGCACACCTGTACATGCTAAGAGGCCTGCGAAGACGTCAGGTATCCTTGCTCACCACACTCCATCTTATTCCTTGGAGACAGGCTCTCTCACTGAATGGGAAGCTAAGTTAGCAGCCAGCAAGCCCTAGCAATCCCTGTTTCCAACCCCTGGGGTTCCGCGTGTGTGTAACCACACCCAAATTTTTACATGAGTGCTAGGGATTTGGACTCAGGTCTTCATACCTATGTAATAACAAGCACTTTTACCACGGAAC